GATGGTAATACAAGCAATGTGGATTTTATGTTACTTGAGAATTTAGACAAAGTGCGAGCTGCCAGGTTCTGTTATCAATATAATTAACACAAGCTTTTTCGCGTAGTTGCCTTTCAATAAATAGAATAAACAAATATTCGAAAATAAATTGGATTTATTTTATAACTGACAACTAACGTACGCTTTTTGTTCTTTTCTCCATTTTGATTTTGACTCTATTACCGCCAACAACTTTATGTGTATACATATTTACAAGCTGTCAAAATTTTGCGTAGTCACACGAGCTAGGTAAAAACTATGGCATTCTTATTCACAAGGAGAAATCTCAAAATTTTTGTTTGGTATTTCCAAATTTTCTCTTTTTTATCAGTTGGCAAAAGCCCTCAGTGGCAGCGCTCCGAGCGTTGAGATAGTAATTTCATGTCAATTAGTAGAAAAGTTCCATGATGTATACCATTTTATGTGGAATTATTCAATAAATTTCGTTTTACACTATACTTTTTGAAACTATTTGAAGGTAATAATTTTTTGTTTGTTAAAAGCAACCCTGCGTGCTTGGAAGGCCTGAGTACCAATAATTTCATCCCTAGCATATTCATCCCCGAGGAAGGCAGCCGCCAAATTCACCGAAGGTTGTTTACTGATTATATTGTGCATTAAACTAAAACGAAGCAGCAAGAAGGGGCGTGCGCGCGCTGCCTCCTGCAATTGAATACCGCATAATCTCCGTCTCGCGAATTGGCAGAAAAGCGAGCAATTTTACTGTTGTTGGATATGTGGTCGGACATGAGTGCTAACTGTGAATACGGGCGCATCACATTCCATCATTCGATCTGATTTGGTAACTAACGCGGTGAGGCCATTACCTGTAGCAAGGTTGAGGACAGCAACTGGTGAGGACACCCAAGGTGTAGGAAAGGTAACATGTAAAGTCGCAGTAGGGAATGTGACAGTGTTACACAAGTTCATAGTCGCGGAGATTGTGGATAAAGTTATCATTGGAGTAGAATTCTTATACCAAAGTATGCAGATCGACATGAAGAACAGGATTATGACGTATAACATCATCGAATCGCCTCTTAGATTTGGGTATGATGTCCTGTACATCAGCATGCGAGTGATCCTACAGGAAAGCGAGCAGATTCCACCGAAGTCAGGAGCATTTGTTTGAGCGAAGATTGATGGAGATTGTGGGACAAACAAGTTGTAAGTTGTCGAAGCAGCACATAATTCTACACCGGACGTACTTACTGGTAAAACCCTGGCTTAGACGAAAAAATACGGACGCGTCCCAGTTCGAGTACTTAATGAGTTCAAATTACC